TTAGGAATTTAAATCCTTCACACCCTGAAAGGCAACCATCTCCTCTATTTCCAAGGCAAACTTTTAACTGACAGGCCTCCCATATGTTACTGTAATTGAGTCTTCTGCAATGCTGAACAAGGATAATTTACCGCAGTAGAGCACATAATCTCACAACATGTGGGTTCTTGTAAGGTTTAAGTGGTGAGATGCAACAATACCTGTCTGTGTAATAGCTGCCATGTGGGTGTTTTATTGTTTGAGTGCTCAATGATCCTTGAAACTATAACACATATATAGTTAACTTGGTACTAGAAGTTGAAAAAACAAAGTTGTACATGTTGAACCAACTTGATTAACACATTTTTAAGAACTCAATCAAATAAGTTTAACCAAAATCTTCTTAAGTTATCTTAACTAATATTTTCTAGTCCAAATAACTTGACACATGAAGTTGAGTCAACAGACTACAAGTTGTATCAACTAATGTATTGAAGTGTAATAGACTTAACTCAGTCAAAGCAACAAGATGACTTGAATCAACAAATCATTTTTAACAGTGTAGCCTAGCAGGAGCACAAATTCTTAGGAAATGTTATGTCAGGTACAACTACAGTCACTGAAAGATTTTGGAATAATAATTTGATAACACAGACGAGATTTAAAGAAAATAAGTGCAGTCAAAAATGTGATCATTATGTCGAGCTTATACATGATATCCCCTAATAAACCACATAGCCTACTCAGAGCCATTTAGTTTCAAGTATTAGTCAGGATATTTAGGTTGCACAAGGCGCTCCCAGCAGGGCAGCTTTCTCTACTTGTTACAGAAGTGTCTGCTGCAGCAGCCTGGGTCTGATTGAATAGATGGTTACATCACACATGACACAGTTTATATCAACCGCAGAGGGCAGATGTCTGAGGGTATCAATGTATTGATTTTTAATGTCTTTGTCTTGCTGTTCCACAAGAATGATTTTCATGAGCAGCAAGACTAAAGGGTTAGTAGCATGCATCGAAACATTCAGGAATTCAATTTTCAGCCCCTCAAGATAACTGAATTACTTAATTCATTCATATACAGTTTTCACACAGATGGCATTGGAAGCATGGTCAATTTGGTGGTGCAGAAACAAATCCAAATACTACTAGGCTACTTCCAATTCCCTCGTCTCAAACTCGTTTTTGTAGGTGAATGTCTAAAACCTCTATGTGTTAGCCTATTAAAACAGCGGTTTCTAACAACTAAGTGACTAAATTAGACTATGGCATACCTGCCAACCATAGACTGTATATATAAAGCTGCCAACCCTACCGATTTGGGCGGTAGTCTACCGCTTTTGACGTGTTTCTACCGCCTACCGACTTAGCTGACTTTCCCTACCGATTTTCAATCTTCCCAAACTATAACAAATAAAAAAGACACTACATACTGTAGACACTGGACTCGACTTTTGGCGGACACCGTTTACAGCGTGTCTGTGATCGCATCATACAAACAGTCCTCTGTGTTTCTGAAAGAGAAACAACGTGCAGACCGGGGGTAACGCTGCCTTCCCTCTGCGTTACCCCCGGGGCTGATGGGTAATCACTCCCAAATGAGTTTAAGGGAACAGAGACGAGGCATTTGAGTCCTGCAGGGTTTCCCCGTTAATATCTGTGTCTCGAAAACACATGTTGGCGACTGAAAGACATCCAGTGTTTGGTCTTTTCCTGAAGCATCCTACAGTGTCTTAACTGAAAGAAGACCACAAACACACACAAAATACAATACAATTTTGAGATATTTATCTCCCATTCTTTCCCTTTTTCTGACATTTTCAACACCACACATGTCGTTAATGTCTCTGTTTAGTGAACTACAGCAATCTGAAAGCCTGTACATTATTTATATCACACTTTATCAGTAGAAACATGCAGCAAATGACTTTTTAATGCAGTATTTTCTGATTTATGGCGCAACACAAAGATATTTCGCTCTGTGCAAACCTTTGACTCTAATATGTCAACAACATGAAACGAGAATATGAACCTGGCTTTATCCAATGTTCACACAAGAGTTCTACACCCTGACACATCCTTCATCTACACTGTCTCAACTGAAAGAGGACCAAAACCACATTAAAAATATAATAACATGTGGAGACTTTGGGATATTTATCTCCCATTCTTTTACTTTTCGGGCATTTTACAGACCAGACATGTCGTTGATGTCACTGTTTACCAAACTAACGCTTTTTCTGAAAAATGCATATAATTATGCAATATATGTTAAATACATGGTTTATACATGTAATTACTGGGGTTCAATTTCTTCTGATTACCTCATTTGGGCGTGCCCATTTGCCGCGCACAAACCTACCTCTTTTGGATTTGGAAAGGTTGGCATGTATGCTATGGTCATCACACCGACATGTTAATATGTGGAGATTATCCTGCTGACCAAACTGTGTTTAAGTAACATAAATGTGTGTTTGCCACAGACCTTATTTTCAGCAGTTTACAAAAATCCTATGGAAAAATCCAACTTATTTTTTCGAAGGATGCCTTTGCGATGCTAACTTCAGGGTCGGCCTACAAAAATACATCATCACTGCACCACTCTATTACCAACAAAAGTCAGGGTTGCCAACTCTCACGCATCTGGCGTGTGACACACGCTTTCACTCTCAATCTCACGCTCTCACGCTGCCCAAACTATTCTCACGCCAAAAAACAAGAATACAAATACATACATCCATGAGAGCAAGTCGGACAAAATGACTAACCATCATGCAACGCACTAGCAAGACATTGATCGCAACTGCGCAGGTGAGGTCTCGCTTGTCTCAAACAAGCCTACTCTCTCGCAACTGCCGACCCGTATTGCGCAAGCGCAGATCTAAGATCCAGTAGAAATGATAAAAAAGTAAAAGTCTGCTGCTTATTGTTCTACTAGGCCAAAATAGAGTCAAAGAGTATATGAGAGTGAATGTGTTAATTAATATGTTTGGCAGTTTGGAGTAAGTCTGTAGATTTGTTTGTGTGTGTGTGTTTCATGTATAGGCCTCTCACTGTGGAGGAAACTTCTGTGTAGCAATGCAGTGGGAGTCACCGACTCATGAAGGAGACACAGGATGAGCAGGAGCTTTGATGTCAAACACTGATGGTTTATTTGGAGTTACGGCCGGAGAGTTGACAAGACAGGTGGTGTGTCACGAGTTGACACAGCGGTTGCCAAACCAATTCTGAAGAACTCTTTCTGTAGCTCGAGGTTTTATCTAGTTCGGAGTGTAATAATCAACATTCTTCATCAGTGAGACTAAACAAATATGGACCCTGAATCTAACTAGAGCTCTCGTCCATAGAAAAGAATGCGCGCCAGGGAACCTTCGTCCCTGAACAGTAAACTACCTCATGGCGGCTTGTGCTCCGTCATAGACTGGCAACAACAATGCGCCCAAGCTGCCCCTCCTTAAGAGAGATAGCAGCAATACCCAAGGCCGTAGAACTATGCCATGGGAAAGGAGACAGTGAGAGGAGAAAATGATGAACTGTGTCAAAGGTTGAATACCTACTGTAGGCAAATTATTCCCTGACACTCACGATAATTAATTTTGTTGGATACATTTTCCCGGAAATTATTGCGATAAACGATAATATTGTCGGCACCGTTGTATGACCATTTTAGACCCCTGACATAATGATAATATATAATAATAATTCAAGTACATCCTTTCAAACTGCTAGTCACATCCTCATGTAAATGGCAATTTATCGAGTTCATTTTTATTTATCGTACGATAAGTCAATTAATTGCTTATCGCGACAGGCACATAATAAAACAGTGGAAACAAACATGTGTTTGACTTTCATTAGTGAATGAAACTGTATGTCCTTTATAGTCTGTGTCCAATATTGTGTATTTGTATATATTGTATATATATCCTATATATATGCTAAGGTCCCGCTGCTGACACGATAGCAGTCATTTTGTGCGCATATGTGTAATTAAACCCATGATATCAAAATATCAATCCAGCCAGGTACCCAAAGTTGGCAACCCTGCAAAAGTTCACTTGATTAGTTATTAATTAAAAAAGATTATTGACACTGATAATTCTAACTAACAAGACTTGAGAGTCTACAATCATGTTGGGAGCTCTGTGATGCTGTACTTAGTAGACACAGTGGTGCCTTGAGCTAAATGCTAACATGCTCCCACTGACAATGCTAACATGCTTATGTTTGTATAATAATGACATGTTCATCATTAAAGTTTCGTTTTAGCCTGTTAACATTTTCTTTTTAGCACTAAACACATATTATTTTCTTATTCAAAGAAAGGTTTCATGGGAATGCATTTCAGAAAAATGCTAGCTAAAAACTTTTAACTGGAACAAATGAAGGCTATCAAGAGTGGCCCATCTCTAACACTGATATGAAAAGCAACAGGCAGACTTAAGCATACACACGTTTATTTAAACTCTCTAAACAAAGTGCAGCACAACTGATGCAGAAGAACACAACACACATTAAGCACAGAGTTACATTCACACACACTCAACTGCCTCAGTAGCACAGTGCAATCCGGCAGCAGGTCCGTTGAAGCATAAATTCATTGAACTGAACTTGGGATAGAGCAAACGTCTGTGGATGCATAACGTCCGATGGTTCATTTGCATATTATAACTTAGTGATAACCATGTTCTGATAACAGGACGGAGATTTTTCATATAAACATCCAAAATTGGTTTCTGAATTATGTGTTCAAGTGAAGAGTTCCCATCACGGCAACAAAGGTAGGCTCCAACGATCACAAGTTGACAAGATACATTAGGCTCATCTGTTTTCTTCTTGGACAAATGTCACACAGCTGCTTTTATTTAACACAAAATATATAAACGGTAAAACACAGCTCAAAGAGTTCTCAAGGCCAGACATGCGTATTCATAGAAAGTATTTTCTCACAAATGAAACTGGCATGCCAAGAAAGTTTCTTAAGTCTTACACTCTTTTTTCTTCAGACATCTATTCATAAGGATTGATTATAATCTCTTTATTCTTATTTTTTCACTTTGATTCCTTTAGTCCATGAGAAGGTGAAATGAATGAAAAGAAAAATATACAGAATAACATGCACTGTTTATCATTGTGCATCCAATTTGAAAAAAATGAATATTTACTGTAATATTATTTATTTTCATTTCAGAATGACAATTTGAACATAAAAGTGACGCTACAAAAGCATCTATAGCACCAAAACAAAAAGGAAGATGATTAAAAGTCAGGGAATTGGGAACATAAATCCAAAAATACTGCAACAGACATGACTTCTAACATTTTTTTCCAATATACACTGCACCATCTAATAGGTAATACTAAAATGACAAAATACAAACATCAAGTTGCCAGGTCAGGCGAATGCAGGTCTATAGAACATAATACATTTGTGTCATTTAATCACAAAATCTGCTTCAAGATGTCAAAATATTACACCGATCTGCAGTCTGGTGCTGAAAGACCAGCAAGGAGGTCACAAGTTGCTCTCCAGGCAACTCTCAGAGTCTCGTCAAGTCTCGTCACAGAGTCTTATGTGTAGTCGAGCACCTTTTTCTCCTCTCTTGCAAAAGGTTTTGTATTGCATCTGTGCAGGATAGGCTTTGTCAAAAACCTGCACACACATTCATAAACAGATTTAAAAAGCTGCCAATGGGTTTCCGTAATGATAGAAGCTGAATTGTGGCTGATTTCAGTAAATGGCGTTTAAAATAACTTTGAACAGAGAAGCTTACTTTTTCTATTCTATACGATGCAAAAACCAGCTTGTGGCCATTTCAAGTGTTGCTTTCTACCTAAATATGTGTCTTGACTGATATGACAAGATAATAAAAAGACAAAATAACCGTCTACTGTACGTTTGGCTAGCTGCTCATTTTGTATCATACTGTTTTCATGTGCTACCTCCAGTTTTTCACCCTTCACGTTTCAGTGCAAATATATATAATCATTGCCTTTTCAGTAGCTTGGTTGGTTTCGAGGTAAGCTGAGATTGCACCTTCCCATTAATGTCACAGCAATGGCTTAACATACACAGTAACCAGGACAACAAAATGATTCGTCCTTTCTGACAGAACTTCCTAAAAAGGAAAAGAGCTACAAATCTTTGGTGTTTCTTTCGACATAACTACCCTAAATTAAGACTGGAAATATTAATAAATAATGGAACATTTACAAATGAATAAAACATCAGAATTGCTGCCCCGGGTTCAGGGCTGCCATCTCCTGAATGCTAGATGATCTATTTGTGGGGCTACAATGCGCTGAAAGCAATTTGAAATGCGTGGGCCATCTATTGGCCAACTCATATAGTCCTAATGTGCGCACAAGCAGCCGTAGCTGACCCTTCTTAATGAGAACTAATGCAGGATCAGATTGGAGTTTTTGTCTGTCAACTCCAGACACACTTGCACCCCGCCACTGGCACCTCCCTGTTATAGATTGAATTTATTGAGCTACAATTTAGGTTCATGTCCCTGTGCAACCACATGGAACAAATGCAGGGCTTTTAAAACACAAGGAGACAAGGAGAAGGAAATAAATTGGGAAGGGACAATATGCATGACTGCTGAAGCCTATACAAGCCCAAAGACAATGGGAGGAAATATAATGTCAAAAATGGGTGAATGTAGAATAGTAAAGTTGGGGAACATTGAATACTGTCCTTGATATGGAGCAGTGATTTTGTGCAAAAGCAAATTGGTTCTATATCTAGCTTTATGTCACAATTGACAATTGGATATTTTAAAAAGCATTGTTCCAAATCCTTGGGTGTTTAAAGGAAAACGCAATGTGCATTTTAAAGTATGACTGAAACACAATATCATCAGATTTCATGCTATTAAATCCCATTAGCTTTGATTTATGGGGACATATACTCTTCTTAACTGGTTAGATTTCATGACTGATTGCTGTGACATTTCATGGGATGTTTCTGGGTATCTCCAACTTGCTTTCCCAATACTTCACAGCAAAACATTAAATGTACTCCAACATACCTGTCAACCACATTTCTCATTAAGCCAAAAAATCCAGCAAAAACTGGAGATATTTTCCTCTTCCTTCACCGCCATTAGTAGGACGTGATTCCTCGGGTTTTCAGCCTGTTTTTCTCTCTTCCCTCTCAGAGGTGTTGTCCCATTTTTCATAAACTCCTCTCATACATCACATCTAAATATAGATTTTTTACAACCCAAAAAAATAAACATGTGGGTGTCACCGAGACGGGGGTATGTACTGTAGATGGGTGTGTCGTATTAAAGTCCACTGGAATGTATTCAAGAGCCAGCCAGTCACTTGGAATGGGGAGGTAGGCTCGCTGGCTTAGTGAGGGTGTTGGGGGACGTCTCGGTGGTGGCCACTAGTCATACTGGGCCTTCAGTCAGGCCCTCCAGGGGAAGGCTGGTGGCATTGTCCGTGGGCTGCGGGTCGTCCTGGGGGTGCGAGGGCAGGTGGGCAGCAGCAGCCAGACTGGCGTAAGGCAGGTGGCAGTCCGTGTGCAGAAAGGGTGGGTAGTGCTGGCGGTAGCAGATATAGGCAAACAGCAACCCGATCACTCCTCCAACAACGGCGTCTGCAAAGTCGCAAAAACACGTATATTTTTAACGTATGCATGTATAGTTACATTTAGCCCATGTGGAGGAAGAAAAACAACACCTTGTCGAGAACAATCCATTACTGACTGGGCACATCTGAACAATGTAACAAACTTTAAAATGCACAACTTCATCTCCTGTCCTATGGTCTCCTGTGTGCAAAGAAACATATTCTCCTATTATGGAAATCAAAAGATGTGCCCAGATTTAAAGCTTGGATAACAACATTGACTGATACTCTGCATTTGGAAAGATTTACGACATTATGACATTTATGTGAATTATATTAAATTAATCAGTTGGCACATAGTAATAGTATATATCTTAGCCGTACAAAATCAGCATCTTCTTATTACTGAAGCATTATCTGAATTGAGAAAGTTGTACACCTTATTCCTTTGCATGAAGCATTAATGAAGTGTCCTGTAATAAGCAGAGTTTGAACCAACCCCTCTCATGGGTTTGTTTTAAATACATACATTTTATTATCCCTAAGAACCGTCCAAAAAGTTGTCTAGGAAAAGATGAATGTAAAAGACACAAAAATCGCTGGCGTCAAATTGTCTAAATATGACCCCATGCCCCTCTAACATCCTCTGCTCATGACTGCTGTACTGTATGTGCAACAGGCTAGTTTACAGCGTGATGGAAGTAAACTGAAAGGCAACGCGATGACTCTGTTTTACCGAGCACTGGGCCCACTTGCCTCCGGACAGGCTGTCTCTGTCATTTTGTCATTTCCGCTGAACAATTTCGTATTATACCAACCCCCCTCTAAGCTATAATACATCATATAATATCATGCTGCCATGGTGAATAGTAAACCTATATTGCCAGGTATAGATCATAATGACACAGCCAGCTGGTGGCTTGGACAGCTATAGTAGACGATTCCATTATATCAAAATTCTACTTTTCCATGGGGCCCACAGCACTTCCTTTATTTTCCCCTTCTGGGTGAAATGAAACATTGATTTCCACCATCCATAAACTATACAATGCATGAGCACGCTCTGAGAATGTTTAATCGACTCCTGTCAACTGGATTTAATAGACTGTGACTTGATGCAATGTATTAGTTTGGTGGCCTCATTGAGACAGAGACAGTGATTGGTAGATCAGCATCCCCCCCCCCCCCCCGGAGGACAAAGCCCACCTCCAAAGTTTGAAAGAATGGGGAGAATAGAGGAATCCACCAAGCATGGCCAGGATAATGGGGGCTCCAATCTTGTGTTGACGACACTGAGTGCAGATTGTGGGCCCCTCATGTTTAATGGGATGCACCATTGCTGCCTACTTACAGTGTTGAGGGAAGACGGAAACTATTTGTCACGCGAAGAAATTGGAAGACCTGTCTTGACTGTAACTGCTGTTTGTGTTGATGTGAATAAATACTGGTTGTTAAAATAGTTGTCTGTTTGAGCTGCTATACTCTCTGGGAACATATGGCTCTCTAAAACTAATCAACACCATATGACAGAGCTGCCATCATATTACCATATCTTCTCACCCACTCATCACACACATATGCAGCGCCTTCCCTCTGTCCCCCCCAACTCTCCTTCCACTCCTTTCAGACCAGATATGCAAAACTGAAGTGTGTAATTATAAGGTTTTTCCAGGCTGCTGAATGAAATGCCACTTCACTGTAATCTGAGGCACTTTTAAGGATATCAAAAATCATGCTATTGGCGACAGAAAACAGGTTCATAGGACAAATATTTGAGTGAGTTGTGTGAATAACCAAGCTGCCTGACCGGATAAACTGTTCCTTTTACCCTTCTTTTTTAAGTGTTTTTTTACAGTGGTAAAGCTTTTCTAAAATCAGCATCACCCCGAGAATGCTTTTTACAGTATCTGTATAATAATTCCTAAAGTGCCTTGAGCCAGGTGTGATTGAAACAGTTTTCCGAACAGCAATCGGCTGACACAAGCAGATATTTGAACACATAACTTTTTTTTTGATAGTCATTTAAATCTTAGCATCGTAATCATTTTCTTGTGTCCCATATTTTAGCTGCTTTGCGTACCTTGCCAGTGGTGTTTGTAGTCGCAGGTCCGGGATAATGCAATCATCATGGCACTGTAGAGAGGCAGCACCATAGCACAGAGACGCCAGCTACGCCCTCGACCTTTATCCGTAAAACACTGCAGCTTCCCCGCCAGGTAGAAGGAGGTGAAGCCAAGTCCGGAGAATGCAACTAGCAGGCAGAGAAAGAAAAACGTTGGTCAAGATCGAAAATTAAATACAGCATTTGGACTAGTATACCAGTGAAAACATAAACTTTGACCATGTTTCAAGGGACTTTCCTGTCCACCAAAGTCAATAACAATGCATAATGGAACAGTAACAGTGCAAAGCAAATATAAAATCAGAAAAGAAACAGACAGCTAAAGTGTGAAGCCCAAGTATTTTAGACTGAAGAAGGTAATGAAGAAGGTGGATGAGAAATGTGCAGCTTGTCCACTGCCACCCACTCATAGGTTTCCTGTCTGAGGAGAACATTCATGAGAAAATACCTCTGCACTGAAGTCAATCAGTGTGTGACAGGTGCCTGAGAGCAGGCAGAGGTAAACACATCAGCACAACCTAAACACTGAGGAAGACTTATGAAGCTAAGGTGTGATTTCAGTCAGGAAGACTATTACTTTACTTTATGTTTATTCATTCTCTATTCTTTGTCACTCAGAGGCCTCTGATCAGCTGATATTAATAATAATACATTTTATTTATATAGCGCTTTTCACAACTCAAAGACGCTTTACAGTATGAGGGAGGGTAGAAAAACAAGGACAGGCAAACAAATAAATATAGTAAGATAAAATAAACAACAAAAAAAAGGCAGTGGCAGGGAGACTTGCAGCAATTCTTGGGTGGTCTTAATTTGCATAATGTTAAGAAATATACAATCTAACTTTATACAACTTTGATCAAGCTGTCAATCTTGGCAATCTAAAAAGCATCATATTTCGTTATAGACCATTTCTCACCTTAAATGTTTTACCATAAGACTTTGGTGGATTGTTTAGACAGAATGTAAAAGAAGGCCAATGATGTTGATTCTTGCTTCAAACGGCTAGCAGAGATCAGGGTGATCAATCAGGTGCCTTCCAAGACAGGAACGTCCACGCTTAAGCAGCCAGTTTAGTGGAGAAGCTCTTTGCCTGATCTCATGGACTTCCAGCATGGATGTGCTTTCCTGAGCCAATACACATGCAGTACAAAATGTGATCCTTAATGACTGGTTTCTATGCAAATACTGCCGGACTGAGATAAGAGCGGAGACTGTCCCAAATTGAACCAAATCTCACATCAGATTAGTATAGAGCTAATGCATGTATGCATAGTTGATGCAACAATATATTCCTGTCCAGCCGCTTCCCTCTGCAGAGGCCCATCAATAAATGCTCTGAGGTCACAACGAAAGCGAAACCCCTGTATGGAAAACAAATGAGCTACTGGCTGTGCTAAAGAAACTGTGCGTCTTAGTTGATGGAGGTGAGTGCAAGGGTCTAATTGTGTGAATTAAAAAGTTGTGTGATAGAGCCGTAAAAGGTGGAGCTGAGACAGGGTCATTAGTTTAATGTTGCAGCGGGCCAAACAACACCCATCAGCAGCCCATTTGTTGCCTAGCCCACAAACTGGCCAAGAATACTAAAGACGCCAATACATGTGTGCAGCCTGCAGAGAGAGAGAAAGGATGGTGGGAAGAAAGGGCAGAAAGTCCAGCTGTCTGAGTAGCCGCCCTGCTGTCATGGAGCAGGAGTTGGCTCCATTAACTCAGCATTTTCCATTAGGTAGTATATTGGATGGCTGGTATAGGCTGATATTGGGTTTTTAATGTGGTAATACGGCGTCACCCATTTCGGAAATTATGGGTATAATGTAGTTTGCGTTATTGCATATAAATGTTAAATTGAATGAACACTTTTACAAGACTGTCTAATGGGAAATTCTGATTAGATTTCATAAAGGTCTGTTTGTGTTTTATACTACATGTTTTATTTTTGCTGCCATCCAGCAGCCATATCCAAGTAAGCTCATGTTAGAATGTAATGAGGGCAACATGGGCAAACAAGGGGATGTTGAAAAGTAAGCTCTGGCCACTTTTGTTGGCCCCATAAATGTTTCTGGGAGGACAACGGAAATATTTCTGCTTATCTATGGAGAGAATTGTATTTTGGGTTGTTTTTCATTAGATTGTAGAGGCTCAGAGAGGAACCCAAGAGACAATGTGTTGTCCAGCTCTGAAGCATACTGACTGAAAGAAACACTGCATACGTTGTCATTAGATGGTCCAAAATCCAAAAAGAGAAACAACAAAAAACCAAGGGAGGCACTAGACAGATTTAAACCCAAAAACCATGTGCAACTGGGGTTGATAGTAATGTCTTTATTCTCAGAGGTGTCATAAAGCAACGTTTTGATTCATTAGAAAATGATATCAAAAGTTATGGCATTATTTAAATGCATCCTCTAGCGGCACCGAATATCTCTAGCAAATCTCAAGGAAATCCATTTAATTTTACTCAAATTCCAAAATGTCAAGGAGTCAGTAAATGTAAATCTCAAGTGACTCTACGAATGTCTGTACACAATTTGAATGGGAGTCTTTCCAATAGCTGTTAATATATTTGCAGCAGTTTCACATGAGAAAATCACATATTTCTAAAACACCTCTCCTCTCTCTTATAGTTTCTGCAAACTGCAATTTCATGACAAAGTTAAAGACGTTTATTTATAAATGGTATCATTATCTGCCTTATATGAATAATAAGACCTTACTTATTGTTTTTTTCTTACTTATTTGTTTCTCTTGTTCTGTATTCTTAATCAAATTCAGGAACAGGTTTATCAGAATCAGAAGCAGGTTTATTACCAGGTAGGTTGACACGTACGAGGAATTTGACTTGATGTCATGGTGCATAACATAACAAAAAAAGTAAACATAATAAAAAATAAAGTAAAATATAGCAGTATTTACATAGAAATAGAATGGAATAAAATGGAATTATATATGGAATTAAATTCGGCAGTAATAAAAAAAGGAAATTCATCTCCCTAATACAATTTATTTGTGAGTTTAGTACACAGGGAATCCAGCAGGTTTACCGCTATTACTTGTTATCATTATTCATTCAGATTGATGAAGGCTGGAGCCTATCCAAGAATCTTAAAGAAGAAGGCAGTGCGGACAGATCATCAAACTCTCAAAGGGTGTTTTAGACATTGCTGGTTTCAGGCTCCATAAAATATGCTGATGGTCCATTTAAACCCACATCTCTTCTTATTTTTTTGGAATAGGGTTTTCATGGCTCAATAAGAGGTGATCAGAAAGTGCACAATATTCTGTTGGCCTCTCCGATGGTAACACAGATATAAATAGATGTCATTAGACCAGTGGTAATTGCATTTTAAATAGTTAAGCTATCATTAGGTGGTTTACTGTAGCATGAAAACACACTGCATACAAACAACATATTTGCACACTGAGTCATCACCTTGAGGAATACAATAATATAATTATTTGCTGGGCCATGCATTATACATGAGGGTGAAAAGCAAGTGTCTGTCCCTCGCAATCATCTAAACGTGCACAAAAACAAATTTCTACATTTGAGATTTACATAATTAACTAAGCCAGAACATTGGTAGGGTGACACAATGAATACTAGGGGTACTAAAGAGCCACTGAAGGAGGCTCCTCGAGAGGCAGCAATGGATTGTGAAAGGCCAAAGAGAAGGCAACCAAGGGAAAAGCATTCTGGTCGTGAATCCGCTTCGTGAATCGAAAGCGTTGACAAGCAATTCCCGCGAGACAAAACAAAGATGCCTAATGAGTGCAGTGAGATTTTTTTTCAAAGGTTTGTTCAGAGGATACAAATGACAAAATTCTGAATGCACTTTTTAGGATCACTAGGGGGGATTTTTGCAATCATAGCTATACTGTATATACTGCAGTACAACATTTGATGAATAAACTCAGTAGTTCAAGGTGTACAGGATATATTAAACCATTCTAAAATGTAGCATAGAAAACTAAATGTTCTTTTTGGGGACAATATGATTAATATACACTTGAAACTCACTTCACTGTACGATTTGATATAACTCCCTGCAGGAATATTATAGTACTGCATGAAATTGCTGCATAAAAAAGGTCACTTTGAATGTATTAAGTGCCACAGACTCATTAAAAGTTTCCTTTAGAAATATTATGGTGATACAAAGAGCAAGTAAGATGCCACAAAGCACAGTAAGGTCGCATTAAATGTACTCTGTGTCATACATATACAATGGATTACTTAACCAGAGGCATGGTTTACAAATCAATGCTCACATTGTTTCTAGAATGGTGGGGGTGGCAGGGGTCAAAGGTGAGGGAGGTATAAATGCAATGAGGTAAAAAGCAGAGAGAAATTAGTGGGAAGAGGAGTTTTTACGGATGGCGCAGTACATTTGCAGGTGTTCTCTTGAACCCGTTATGGATTTTGACAAGTGAACACAGAGGAGACATTTTAAAGTAGATAAGTGCTCTTTCAAAGCAACGGGTTTGGCTGTGGATTTAAAAAGTGGAGTCATGCTCCGGTCAAACCCTCAGCTAAATCTAATAATTGTGGTAATATCAGTCTCTTTTCCTTCCTGCCCTGTATTTCTTCTGAAATAGCTATCCTGGAACTGCACACAAACGGCC